ACTATAGCAGAGCTCAGTCTGAAAACTAACCTCTCAATATTCAAGCCAATCTTTATGCCCATACTTACCTGCGGTCATGAGTGGTGGACCATCAGTGAAAAACTTCGAACCCGGGTACAAGCTGCTGAGATGGGCTTTCTTAGACAAGTCACTGACCTTACGCGTCTCGACATGGTCCGGAATAGTAACATCCGGAAGAGCCTTGGAATACAGTCTTTGCTTCTCCAGACTGAGAAGTCACAGCTGCGATGGCTTGGGCATGAGTTGAGAATGCCTTCAAAAAGTAAGGCTAAGCAACTGTTCCTTGCAAATCCGACCGGCAAAAGGCCCAAGGGACGGCCAAAATTAACCTGGTGCAACTATATGGTAGGAGTCTGTTCCAGACTCTATTTGTCTTTTGCCGAAGCTTAGACACTGGCGCAGGATCGGGAACGTAGGAAGCTCTGTCTGACGTGTCTGTCTCCGCGACCCGAAAGGAGAAGCGGCGATAGAAGATGATGAAGGTGAAGGGAAACAGCAAAAGCTAGTCGATGAGACCATAAAGTACTAACTCGACATTGTTGGAAACTCATCAACGAAACGCAAAGGCTCTGGAATCCTGAACTTCTTACGTATAGAAGATACTCTACCACGACTCACGCCCAGACTGGTGTTCGTGTTCTGGTATAACCTATTCTCGCTAATAGAATCAGTGATTGGAATCCTGTCAGCTGAAGACTGGCAATCCTCTGGCTGAAGTTACAACATTCTAAAGCGTTGGCCAGGTATTATGTATATGAACCCAGTTTGGAGGCAGAATATGAGTCCTTCCTTCAGAAAGTGGAATGTACTCTTTACGAAGTACTAAGGATACTACGGATACTAAGGGTGTAAACGCGTTTAAAACTAACCACCTAATACTTTCTCATTCTCCTGCCCATTGCTCTCTTCAGATTAACGGAGAAGCAGTGGAGCAGGTGAAGATGTTCACGTACCTCGGAACTGTATTTACTAGAGATGGAAAATTGGAGGAAGAGATCGACCGGTAAATTGAAGTAGCCTGTGACGTTCCGCGTGAACTAGGCTGATCCATTGTGACTAAAGCAGAGCTCAGTCTGAAAACTAAGCTCTCGATATTCAAGTCGATCTTTATCCGCATACTTAACTACGGTCATGAGTGGTGGTCCATAACTCAGATGCTTCGAGCCCGGGTACAACGGCTTGAATGTTTTTTTAGACGAGTCGCCGGCCTTACACGACTCGATTTGGTCCGAAGTACTGACATCCGCTAAAGCCTTGGTGTACAGCCTCTACTTCTCCAGATTGAGAAATGACAGCTGCGATGTGCTTCGAATGTCTCTCTAAGGGAAGACTAACTGCTTGTTGCCGAACTGACTGGCGGAAGGCGCATAGGATAACCAAGGTTAGCCTGGTGCAAATACATGGTACGATTCCTCTCTAGACTCTAGTTATTTTCTGCCGAAGTTCAGACTCTGGCAGAGGATAGTAAAGGTAGGAAGCACTGTTTGACGCTTCTGCCTCCGCTACCTGAAAGGAGAAGTGGTGATGGAAGATGAAGCTTCTCCCGGTGTCGATCGACAACCGTGACATTTTATTGACTATGTGGCTGCTTCTTCGAATAAGAAGGTGATGAACAACTCTGAATAGCAAAGTAAAGGCGCATCTCTATAACGAAAGTCGACAGTTAATTGGAAACCACGAAAACAATTTTCCCTGGTGTTTGATCTCCAAAATGGTTCCTGCATACATCCCTTGAGAGACTTCGTTGGACAGATACTCCCAT